TGAAATTAAACCAAATTGAAATGTGATAAAGATATTTTCCAGCCATTTTGGCAAAATTTCTCCGAAAAAAGGCATGAATTGGGTAAAATTGGCACATCTCTCCAGGATTTGAATCCTAAACCGTGTGCGTGATAGCGACCCCTCCTGGCAACATACCCTTTCCACCTTACTTTGGCAACGTTTGGACATGGGCGGTGTGGTTGGGATTCTCATCAGCCGGCCTGGATCAACTGAGCCTGACGCTGATAACTAGACTATTTTTTCAAGTTTCTGGGCAGGGGTTTTGGAGCCTCGACACGGATCGAAGCTCGGGAATCCAGAGGTGCAACATGGCGCTATTACTCTTAACCATTCGGCCATCCCTCCGGATAAACGCACGAAAAACTTAATCGTTTCACAAACAGTTACAGCGGGTAATGTTAAAACAAATCAAAAAGCACCAGTGCAATCCACCTACCGTGTAGTCGTCTGCATCCTTGGCACGTTGCGTCATCTCGACCTGCAGCTAAATATATAATTTTCTCTTTAGGGGAACAGCACCATGATCAAGGTGGTGGAGAAAGGCCGAAGGCGCCGTAGCTGACAAACGAGAATAGGACCAAATTTCACTGCTATCGAAAGTTAAAGCTTTTACGGGCAAGTATAGCCATGAGCTAATCAGTGTTTCCCACTGTCTTTGTTATACACTGCGCATAGAAGGTCCATTCAGAATTGTAGGGCCACCGGAGTCATGGTTCGCTCATACATTTCCTTACTTAAACGGGCATAGACTTAAAGGAGGATTGCACGGAAAGAACGAAGGTCGAAGAAGGGAGAAATCGCCTAGTGGGGAGAGCGGTGAATCTCTTGAGGGTGCGGACAGACACGCAATCGGCATCGAAAGATTTGACCTCTGAGATCTAGCATGGCTCAAAGTTGGCGAGTTCGGCGATCTCCGCCCACCGATCGTCTGATCACTCGCCGTAGTACAATAGGTGGCGAGTGATTAGATAGCTGAGAGAGCGTAGGGTTGAAGAGGGCAAAGCGATGAGAGTCCCATCAATGCTCAAATCAACGGACAAGGAAGGGGTCCCATTTCTCCGGTTCTGGGCCGTTTTTCGTGGTTTCGCTTTCTTTCTGGTACTACTCACCATCTCTACCTCAATTTGGAATGGGTTGCTTTTCCATCGTAAATTCGTCCTTTAAAAGCATGCAGTTTCAAACACCGTCTTTTCTAATAACGTACTTCGTAAGGTTCAAATCATTTGGAATGAAATGTTCGGAGGAAGATTTTGATCCCATAGTCATCGCGCCGTGGTGTCTTCCTTTATTCTATGCTGACTTTCTACCCAGCACCCTACTCATTTCATTTTTGAGTGAGATAGCCACATCTAGCAATTGCTGAAGTTCCTTTGAAACCATGATCGCAGTCAGATCCTTGGCATTCTCTCAGTGTATGAGGCACCAGGGCTCAAACACAATAGGTGTGGCACTGTTGTGAAATGAAGAAGCGAGACACTGGTACCAACGCCTTCGCTTGCACGCTACCGTTTTACTTGTTCACAACATACGTGGTGTCTGCGCCCTCTTGCACAATGTGCTCTCTCATACATTCATCTTCCTCGCCACGTTGTGTCTCTCCTTCATATCCTGGTCAACCTCGCGAAAAGGAGGTTCTTGATTGCAGCGAGTTCCACAATTCTTTTCGCTTTTTTCTTTTCTGATGATCTACTCTGCGTAATTCGCTTGAGTGGAAAGAAGGCGATTCGATCGCGATCCATGCCCTTAAAGTTCCAGACACGGCACCCCACACCGCACGGCAAATAAAGTAGCTCGTGGGATAAGAATTTAAAACTTGAACATGTTTAATGATAGGCCAGCATTCAATCGAGACTGAAGCTGAAGGAACTTAGTTAAGCACCTGATTACCACGTAAAGATACAAAAACAATAATGCCATACAATCAAAAAACAGCTTACCTCAATTTCTCATTGCTGGGTGCTTTCAGCGGCCTGTTCTCGACGCTTTCAACCTTAGGACAGTTTGCCGACGCTGATCAACGGAAACAATGGAATGGCCGGTTTCGTCGGGCTTTTGTCTGCCAACATCCATCACCGTCTGGGCTCTTCTGCTACCTCAAAATCCAACACACATTTTCTTTGTACCGGAACATTTCCTAAATAGTTCTTATTTGTGTTAGGTGTTCTGTGCCGTACGTATAACATAAAAGTAAGAACACGGAGCCGAGTGTATACTGGTAGACTATTTCCCAAATAGTGCTCAGACAGAGCGCTAACGAACATGCCCATTACATCGTTTTTGGGATACGCCAAGCATTTGAATTTTCTTTGAACCACGTTGGCACAAGGGTTCCCGTATGCTAATGGCATAGTAGCATGAAACTACATTCTTCCAGTATGCGCCACGTATCAGGCTTGTTTCACATGGTGTTACATCGAAATGTTTCTATTCACTTCAATACGCCAAGCGCAATTAAGGAGCAATTCTTGGATGCAAACGTCATCACAGTGATGTAATTTAACGGCCAAGTGTTTTTCTCAGACGGAATTTGAACCTAGCCCCTGCTATCCGAGCATCGCACGGCTTCGACTTCCTCATAGGACGAAACCACGAAACTTTTCCTCTTTTTACACAGCAACAATATGACTCTAGCAGTATACATATGTGCTATATCCAAACACTTTTTAGGATCTGTTTGAAGCTTCCGCGAAACGGGTAGCAGTTTCCCAACAAACATTGTATGAAAATGGTCTGACCTTCATTTTACGGCTATCGCTGAGCGAACGTTGCGTTTGCCGACACTCCATCTATAAATGAAAAACATAATGTTACTGGCATTGATCAATCCCTCGGAGATGCGCCATGTACTTAACCTATAGTAAGATCGGCAGTGCGCATTTGTCCAGAACTATAAATTACTTGGGCAGCCGAAGTTTACAGGCAGAATTTAGCTAGCTCATAGCAAATAAGGGTAGAGGTGGTCAGTGGAGCAGGGATGAAGAAGAAACCATTGAAACGGCCCAAACCCGAGAAATGGGACCCCTTCCTTGCCCGTTGATTTGCGCATTGATGCGACTCTCATCGTTGTGCCCTCTTCAACACTACGCTCACTCGCCGCATATAGACCTGCGGCGAGTGACTGGATAGTCGGTGGGTTCCGGGCCAAGGGCTACGGGCTAGGCCATGTTGGGAGAGGGAACTTAGTCAGGATTGACCTTTCACACCTCCTCGCCGTGGTTATCTCGCACCACCCTGTAACCTGCCTCTGGGTAGACCTTGCTTAATTAGGTGTGCTGAGTGCTGACCTCGCTCCAACATATCGCTCTCATGCGCAGTATTGATTATCAAGTCTATCTATTATCTTTATTACATTCACGGAAACAAACCAAAGTTAATTTATACAAATTTTTAGCGTAGTTAACAAAAAATTCAGATTATACAGATGTATTAGTGACATATTGTATTGTATATTGTATATTGTATTGTATTGTATTGGTGGGGGAAATGGATGTGTTCGATGTGAAAAAAGAAGATTCTGTGGCTACAGAATTGGTAAGGCTATCAGGTGGAATGGGATAGATATTACGTGTAGTTTGCGAAATCGGAGGGACGGGTGCATATGATATTTCTTGGGGTGGAAGTGGTGATGCTGAAATGTATGCATAAATCGAGGATGAAGCAGGACCAGGGATAGAAACAAAGGGGATCTGGGACGAAGTCGAATTCAATACGACAGAGGGGTGACCTGAAACCAAGAGTAATGGTGCAGGCACTGACACAGAGTAATGGTGCAGGCACTGACACAGTAGTGGTGCTGTACAAAGGAAGTGCACTGGAATCCATGTAAAGAGGTGGAGCAGGCAGTTGATCTGCATCTCCGAATAGTGGAGCGCCAGTTGTAGCCGAATCTGCTAGAAGTTGGTAAGTGAATGAGTCATGCAGAGGACTGCTGTAGAAGTAGCTTGAGAACATGCTTGAGATGGACATACACAAACAATTGTAGTGCTTTGTGATGCTCTCTCCCACCTGATTAAATACCTGTGGAGGTGATCTTCCCATAAAAGGTAAAAGGTTCATAAATTACATAGTTTGCCTGTAGGAAAGTTAGGCGAAAGTTTCAACTTCGTAACTGTTCTGCATGAAAACGGCTTGCACTGCGAATGCTATTAGCCAAAAATTAGTTATTTTTGAGCTCTCATTTTCATCCATTTTTTCTGATATTTTGTTTTCTCCAACCGCTACTGCATAAATGAATTTATTACCGATCAATATCCTCTATAATGAGTCTGTCGGAGTTGGGTCAGCACTCAGCTCAGCTAATTAAGCGAGGTCCACCCAGAGGCAGGTTACAGGGTGGTGCGAGATAACCACGGCGAGGAGGTGTGAAAGGTCAATCCTGACTAAAGGTGCACACCCGCCAGTTGCCCAGGGTATCCTAGATGTCAAAATGATAGTGAGTCGCACCCTCAGTCAGGGACGGTAGTAAAGTGCCATAGACTGGGAGTTAAAGGTGGTGAACTACGGCCGTAAACGGTGAATAATGAAAGGCGAGACAGCCAGATGACCCCGCTCTGAATGGCGAGCTTCACTACATTCCTAGCAAAAGTCGCGTCGCCATGGACTTGAACCATGTAATGCAGCGCCCATGAGCGCGACGTTTGCCACTGCACCACAAAGCATTGCGGGGTTGTTTTTTTTTTTTTGAAAGAACTGTAGAAGCAAGGTAGTAACCTATGAAAGTTGCAAAAGATCGGATATTATGGAGAATTGATCCCGCGAGCGACCTCCGGCGGTTACCGGGGGATCAACGTGGTTTAAAGTAAAAGCGGCTGTTTGTTTCGATACGAAGGCACTTTACTAAACAGTCTACTATCTGGTGTATGTATCACCCTCAACCTTGGTCAGGAAATGCATGGAAGTTCTCGAGCGAGCAGGGCATTCTTTGACGAAAGCCTTGCATCGTTTAGCCAAAGGCTTTCGTGGATTTGACAAGTGGATGCTCAGATAATTAATTTGATAGAAAATACATTGCTCACCATTTTACTCTTTCGAATCGCAATGTCGGAATCGCGCTGAAATTAACCAACCGTCAATCAATCGAGTCGAGTTGAGTACGAGTTGGAAAGAAAGGATCAGCGTATACGAGTTTATCAGTAAACATGGTGTTCAGGGAACTGGAGCTGCTATAACCTAGGATCCGTGGCTACAGACGTAGTTGCGAACTCGATGTTGTGAGCGATCGCAATGCCGCGAAACAGAATTTTTTGGCAAACAGGCTGATACTTTCACCCCAAGTATAGAAGATTATGCTCATTCTCAGTAAGCCACAATTTGGCCCCGCGAAGTTACATTTTTATGATAAGCAAAATTCAGCCTCTAAAGCGAGCCCTATATAAGCCGCAAATATCACAAGATCATAAGTTCAGGAAATGGGATTATACCTAGTGTGGCATTGTGCTGGTAAGCCTGCAACGCCGCTTGACGCAAAGGCGTTGAGGTATACGTCATAATTCCTAACTTTTAATCTTGTGAAATTACTCACCGTCAGTAAATTGGATGTCCTTCGACACACGCTAGACGCTACAGCAGATTGTTAATTGTTGGATCTGTTTATTAGAGCTACAAACCAGCCCTTTTGGCGTTTCTGCTGGGGCCGTATGCTGGATGTTGTGGAGGGGATGGGGTCCTCGAGTCGACGGACTACTTGAACTCGGTCGGTACGGTAGAAGGAGAGTGATGACGAAGTGGTGCAGCTGGTCCAGCAGCTCCGCCAAAGGCTGGTTTGCTTACCCCAGACTAAGCCTTGGAGAGAGGACGGACCTGCGCTCTCTCGCAGGTCCGTCCTCTCTTTAAGGCTTAGTCCTGAGGTAAGCATCAAATTGAGGCGGTTTTAAGGACCGAGTTGAAGTAGTCCGTCGACCGTCGGGACCCCCATCCCCTCCCAACATTCAGCATACGGCCCCAGCAGAAACAGGCTGTTGCTACTTCGCTTTCTATACAGAGTGGGTCTCATCCTACTGCAGGATTCGTTAGTGCGCATCTAGGAATGTTGGCACAAACACTATCGCTTTTGGAACAAACCAACGTTGTAGCTGGCTGAAAGTAAAAATATGTGCCTAGCGGTGGTCGCAAACGCCATGTAATGCTATGTTCGCACTACGCTGACTCCTAGCGACTCTTTCTTTCTCCACTTGTCGTTTTCACTGAAAATTTATTCATTTTTTAAATAACCAGATTAGTCCCCCCGTCAACCGCCGGGACCTTCCTTTCCTGCGCAAGCTTTCTATCCTCCGCTATGGTCCCTTCCTCCTGTGACACCAACACCTCCTGGAAGTGACGCGTATGCAACACAATGGTGTTTCATACAGTAGAAGGGACACAATCATGATATGACGGTAGATTTTTCGCTTCCCTTCCTCATCCTCCCTTCCTCTCTCCACTGCCCTCCAGCTGCCACTGCAGCACCATGTGGAATGAACGGAAGTGTGCTAAGCAGGTGTTTATATAGCCCTAAGAGTGTTATCACAACTATCCTGCTACAAAACACATTATATCATTATCTGTAACCCCATCTGTTAGCGGTTTGTTTATCCCATGAGCTTCCTTCTCACTCACTTCATTTTGCGGACGGACACACATACATACATACACACACACACACACACACACACACACACACATACAGATACACAAACCGACACACAAAGTTAGCGCTTTATATAAATAGAAGGATGCTATTTCCGCGCAATTTCTGGATAGAGCTCTAGTGGGTTTCACCCTGTTAAACCATGGGTACTCCATTAGCCACCTCAGCTGTGCACTCTGAAATGCCAGTTGATATTATGCGGAGTAGTAGCTGCCACATGAACGAATCGATAGATCGATTTCAAAAACAACGCAACATCTTGCTCATCTGGAAATGGTCCTTTTTTACCTGATCCACTCCCCTTTCCTTAATTTGAGATATCCTTTTGGAGTTTACATACTAGCGCCCTAATATCGTCCCTCTCCTGTACTTGAAGGCCCGGGTCGGGATTGAAATGCTGTATTTTGCTCGAAAATTCGACAACAAGTGCGGTTAGGAAGGTCAGTCAGGACAAGAAGCAAAAACCCCCATAGGGAAGTGAGGGCCCTTTGAGGTCGGCCGTGGTATGATGGAGAGACACAGCGCTGTGAGGAGAGGGAAAACGCGAGAAAGCACGTCGAACGCGAGAGGGCGCAGACGTCACGTATACCGCGATGATAAGGATGGCCATAGCAGCACAAATGGCAAGGCCTAAGCGCTTCAAACCGCGATAATGTCGCGCTTCCCTGCGTTTGGAGAGACCGCATGTTCTCATTTTAAAAGGGACTACTCCTTGGCACCTAATCCCGATTCGTGGCCTTAAGAGCTCACCACAAATGACGCACATAAAGCTTCCGAAAGGCAAAGCTCCAGAGAAACTGAGACAACCTCTAACATAAAATAAAAGGATAAAGCATTTGCCGTTGATCAATCCCTTTTTTGGGATGCGGCACGCATTCTACTTCCATTTGTACATTCGTAGTGGCGTTTGAATGCGATGTGGCCTATACAATGACTTGCGGGGGCCAGCCGATGTTCAAGTCAGTGTTTTTATCCTCCCAGACAAGTCTGGTACCAATTAACCGACCCCGGAGGGATGGAAGGGCTTGGTTGGCCCGGGCGACTCACGACCCAGGATTTGATCCCGGACCGCTCGCGTGGTAGCGCGCCACTTGTCACTACACCACTTCCGCCCTGATTATTGGCATTATTTTATTTGGTAGCACATAATTAGAATTAATTACCCTACCTTTTCTTTGAATACATCCAGTGTATCCACAGTTTCTGTACGATTTTCAGGTTGCTGTAAATAGAATCCATTATTGCACTGATAACATGTAGGCCTGATACCGCTATTTGTTCAGGTAGTTTTGCCAAATTACTCATCAAATAATCCGCATACACGGGGAAGGGGTACAAAAAGTCATTCTCCTGGCACATTTGGAACGGAATTGATTACACTCTGCTAACTCAAAACGAATGTCCCAAATGACAACCCGAAGGTAAGATTAGTTTGATGTGGTAATCCCTTCGAATACGACAGTAGGGCTGCGAAGTGGACCACAAGCACAGAAAATATGAATCTTTTCGGTCTGCGCTGCGTAGAAGTTTAATAGGCAAACGCTAAACATGAGATGATGTGGGTCGCGTAGAGGGTAAAGAGCTTCCAATTGAAAGAGCACAGCAAAAAGCAGGTCATCCATTACGACACAGAGAAGATATCAAACGGTGGGCGAGTATGGATTGGCCAGGCATCTGCGGGTAAAAATGGTAGGTGCCTACCGCCTTAGTGAGGGCATTTTGAGATGGTGCATATGCTCCTCCAGGAGGAGAAACAAACCCTCTTTCATTGCCATAACCAGCTCCAGGATATGACATCATCTGCGAACACCCTCCAGCTCGAGGGGGCCTATCGCCATTGCTCTTGGAACTGCTAATTGTTAGCAATTGCTTCAATCGACTAGCTGGTAGGTAGCTCTGCCGACGAGACCTCTCCGACCAACGTCCCAGCCCATGTGTAGTGAGTGATCCATGATCCGACGAGAACCTCGCTAAGCTCGAGCGTGACTTCTTCGGTGAAGAAGCCAATTAGGAAGCTCTCATCGTCAGATGGACTGGATTGTTCTGTAGATTTCAGTACGGAGCATTGGACTAGAATTCAGCAAACTGCGACTAGCCCTGTTTCAGATGCGGAAGGAAACGACTTTTTTCTCTCCCCCCCCCTCCCCTACCCCACCGCCTCTATGTTGCATATTTTTGGATACTCCGCTCATCACCCATATTGCTAACGCTACCTTCTTTTCGCTGCTTTGGTTTCTATTGAAGACCGCTCCTCAATATGCCGTTCCCTAGGTTTTCTTGGAACCTAAGGGTTTTGTGAAAACGGCGACCTTAAGGACGAAGCTCCCTAATTTGAACAGCCCTACGCTCATTTCTAGCACCCTAACCCTTTCCTCTCAAGACTGTCTTGGATGCTGATTGATTTCCTGGAGGATCGTAAAAATCTATGCCTACCGCGAACAAGCTTTTTTAATCTCGTTCACCAGTCCACTGCCGACCTGCACCGCGCACAATTTGTGATTCCACACCTTACCGTGCACCTGGTGAGCAGCGCCACTTCTACACTATCTACAAACTGGTAAGAAGTATGCAATTTCGGAAGAAAGTCTGGGCAGCCAACTAAAAACTCAATCCTTTGAAAGAAATGCGCCCGCACGTTCAAATGCCTCCATTTTTCACTGTTAAGTAGAGGTCTTATTGGACTGATGATCAGACTTACTTGTAGATTCTTCGCAATAAGTGTAAAAGCTCGATTATCAGGTCCAGCAGGCTTGTATCCCTGCAACACTTCTCTATCATTCTTTATCATAAAGTCTATTAGACTGTTTTCACACTCCACCTCGACCACTTATGATTGGCGCGCAGTGGAATTTTGGAATGCTTCACACTTTTTGCTCTATGTATCTTCTTGCTATCATACCCTCCTGCTACATTATCTGTGCTCTTAAAGGCAGATGGCACGATAAATTGGCATTGGGGTTGAAAGTAGAGCTGTTGAAAGCTGCCACAGTCAAGGACGAACTGAGGGAGACGATTTGAAAGCCGCAATAGACACTCTTGTTTCCGCTGTCGATTTCCACGCTGAGCGAGAACATCGACGCTGACGTCATCAACGGGAATGACTCTGCTCTCATTCCCTGCTGAACGGCTGGAGTTCAACGGCTGGAGACCAGCACCCGCGGTATCACTGGGCGTGGACAACCGTGAAGGGATTCATCACCGCGGCTAAGGCCCTATTAGGTCGCTACGAGCGCACTCTTCGCAGCAAAACGCGTCGCGTTTCTTATCCTTGAGGGAGCTATCTACCTTCATATTAGTTATATCCCCTTCTTCTACCTAGAACCTTATGTACCACCTGCCTTTAGATAAGGATTCGTTTTAAGCGCACAGCTGCAACTCTCTAGAAAAATATAGTGCGGGGTATAAGTTTTGTTATAGCCCTATAGTTAGTGAGTCTTCCGTTGAGTTGTTTAAAGCAACAGTCCCAGCAGAGTGGACGTGTTGGAAACGGCACAATCCCCTCGACCGATTCCCACTTCGGAGCTGTTTAGAAGGTCTGAACAGCTCCGAAGTGGGAAGCGCTAGGCAGGGAGCTGAAGTGGGCGTGGTCGGAATCGGCCGAGGGGATTGCAGTCGTTTCCGACCACGCCCACCCTGCTGGGACTGTTGCTTTAAGATTGACACAAAGAGAATATAAATCGCAAATAAACGAATATGAACTCACCACGAGTGTGCCTTGTTTCTTCTTCTGAAAAAAATAAATAAAATTGAAGTAATGT